CCAAACTGCATTTTTGTCACTGTAACTCTATATTTGCAAATGTATGCCTTTGAGAGTTTGTATTGTTACAAACTCGTTCTGTCATGTAGTATACTTTCACAGTATCTTATCTTAAAAACTCATTATTGCTTTACCTTGCACAGCTCCGTCTGCAGCGCGTCTTCTTGTCTGGCCTAATTCCTAGGCTTGCGGCATCTTGCTCGCCCCCTTCTGCCTCACCTCATTCTCTTAACTCCTACCACGTCAGACTTCCTACTGTCATGTACCTACTGGCTCTCCTCATGAGCTGGAAACAGCGCGCTTTGCGCGCTACTCCAGCCATACTTGTTCGGATCGGATCGGATTTTAATGACGAACTAAATCACAAATTTTTGTTTCAGATCTGTAATAAATTCTAATTTATTTTTTAAAAAAGGGGTGGTAACTTAGCATGCATATTTTACTCAATTAATGCATAATTAAGAAAAGTTTCAAAGACACTGATTGCTGAAAGACTGAGAAATGGAATTCATATTCTCCATCAGAAAAGACAGACACTTAATCTACATTTTTTAATCAGAATTACAAAATCCCAATAAGATTTATTTATACAGAGAAGATCTGATAAATATGAGTAGGTACCAGAAAATACATATCTACATTTTAAAATTTTCATAGAATATTTAAAGAACAAATATTTACATGAATTCATGTATTATATTATATGAGTATGTTTTGTCTATATTAAAAAAAATTTTGGAGGTTTTTATGACTAATCCTTTTTGTAGATTCTGAATTTTACTCAAGTATTAATTATATTTTAAGAACTATAGATGCAATTTTATGTCATAATGGAAATCATTGTGATCCTTATAATGATGACTTGTTAAATATTATGCTAATTTATTATTTATTTTAGTCCTTTTTTTTTAATCTTATCATACAACATCTTCAAGTTATAAAACTTGTCCTAATTAAAAGCTTTCAAAATTTTCAATAAAAACGGCTGAAAACTGAACCACAAAAATGATATTTTGACAGTTGAAAATTTCATTTTTTTCCACCTGTTTTAACCCGTTCGTGACCAAGGTCGCGTGGACGCGACGCAGCGATTCCACTCTTATCAGCCCAGCGTCGCTTCCACGCGAAGAGCTCCGATTGATATGGAGAGACCAGCGTCGCGTATGCGTAATCGGAAATCGGAACGTTTTATTTGAATTTTTAAATGCTACTAGATGGCGTTAAACGGCAACGGTTTTCACAACGGTCGACTCATATGGTATTTGACCTTCATGAACGGGCATTGGTTTCTGTTCTATGCTTCTGTATTTGATATATTTATTGATGTAAACAAAGTGAGAATCACGGCTCTTTAAAGGGCTGGGATTTATTGCTCGCTGTGTTTATATTTTGACAGATTGTGGAAATTTATGGAACGTTTATTAGTTGAAATGTTGGAGTAGAATTGCGTTTGTCTTTTGAGGTTTGACAGAGCGAGATTTCGAAATAGATGAATTAATCAAATACTGAAATGGAAGAAAGAATTTGTTCTAGTTAATATAAACAAACTGGGAAACACGGGTGTTTGAAAGGGCACGTGTGAGTTCAAGTGACTTGTTTATTGCTTTGTTTTTTTCATTAGGAGAATATGGGGGAGTACATTCAGCGGATTAGCGGGATGAGTAATATTAGCCATATTATGAGTGCAAAATATGCAATGTTGGACTCTGTGTGGATCCTTGTTTTGAACTATATCACACACAGCAGAATTTTTAAATTTCGATTTTATTCAGAATATATTATTATTCTTAATTTCCTCTTTTTTTATTTTGTGTTTGTGATATTTGCAGCTTTGTTTTATTGTGTATAGTATTTGTTTTCATGTGCATAGTAATAACTTTAGTTTTTTGCATATTTCATTCATTTGTATTAACGTTATATTTTTTATTTTAATACATATTAAATAGAAGTATAGTATATATATAATTTATAAATTTGGAGTCTTTTTATTAAAATGCTGATTTTATACGAATTTTTTTGTAAACTTAGGCTTAACTGCTTAAAATGTGCGGGCCGGTAGTGACGCTCCGTTTCAGAGCGTTTGGTCCCGTGACTGAGTTTTATTTCCGGAGCGCTGGTCCTCAAGGGGTTAATAAACTACACTAAAATCATTTTCATATTATGCATCCATTAAATTTATTATTTCTGTTTTTGCAATGATTTCATAACTTCAAAGTATGCCATCTATTTTTATTATCATTAATGAGAATCAATATAATAAGGACAGGTTTTCTCTCATTAGTAATTTATGTGGCATTCCATGTATTTATGACCTACATCAGTGTTTCTCAACTGCTGGTCCTTCCAATTGTTTATTCCAATTGAAGTATTTTAACAGTCCTACGAGTAAATCGGGTAGATAAGTATCGAGTAAATCGGGTAACACTGCTCCATGTAAACATTACAAGAGCTAACTGAAGAGTTCTAACTGCCTATATATTTCTTTTTTCCAATAGTAAACACAACAATCTTCAGTTGAGTTTTATGAAAGTTACACATCAATGTGTCTGAGAACCTGCACATGGACAGTAACAGTTTTCAGCATTTAGTCATAGCAAGTGGAAGTACTCAGTAAATTTTTTTCTTGGTATGTCTACAACAATATAGTAGAAATGGATAGAATTTTGGGTGGGAACAGCCATAACGAAACAGCAGAAATGTTATACTAGACATATATGGGATGAGATATTTAAATTTGCTTCACAACTTCAATGATGAAAGGCACTTAAAGATAAAGCAAGCAAGTGATCAACAAAGCATGCATTGACAAGTTATTTAACACAGTTTTGGATGTCAACATTTCATATTAATGTGCAAAGAGCAAACAGTGGCTATTGTAAATATCTTGAAAACCATCTTTGCATAAATCACAAGAAAGAACTGACTAGATATTCAAGAAACAAAAATTTTGCTCCAGGACAATTATTGTTGCCCTGTTGCATTCTGGTATTTGCAGCACTTTCCGAAATGGAACCATCAATACTAGTAGCCTAGACTTGGTGCCATCTGATTTTTGGACATTTTCAACATTGAGAATAAGATTACACCAGGAAAAATTCTCTTATGAAAGGAAGCGGAAAATGCCATGAAATACCATATCACAAACAGTTATATTTCTTGTTTCAGAATAATTTATAAAAATACTATGAAAAACGTTATTCAATGTGAAGCCTCCAGATTACAAAAAGGGGAGAAACAGTGTCCATAGACTAATCTAATTTTGAATAACATAATTAATTTCAAAATTTTTCAATCAGCCTACATATGTGAAAATAAAAATAGTACAAATAAACTGTGCATAAAATATTCATTTCACAAAATTAAACATAATTAACAACACAGTTCACACTTAAACAAATACACAGCTACGTTATTTACACATTTATGCCTTTTTCTTTTGAATTATGCCTATTACAAAGAGGGGGAAAACATATCTCATTAAAACTGCAAAAATTTTAAAGAAAATCAAGAAATATTTATATGTACAGAAAAGATTCATCACCAACAATACATGATGAAGAGAGGAAAGTATACAGTTTCTAAAATTATAAAAGAATAAATTACATTTCAACAAAAAATTTACAATTAATCCTATCCTAATTCAAATAACAAAAATAAATTTTATAACTAAAAATAATCAGTTAAACAAAGTGAATATTAATAATATAAAACCATCTTTACAAATTATAACAGACATATCAAACTAATTGAGATAAATAATTAGTACCTTTTTAGTTAGGTTTTTTTAATGTAAGTTATAACTGCAGTATTAGCAAACATAACAGAAACACACAGATGAATTCTTATTTACATGAAAAATCTTTCTAGAGTAGTTCATTCTTGTTTTTCAAATTTCAAAATAAAAGATCATTCAAAAATATATATTTGCTTGTATAACTTAAATCTGTATTAAAATTCAAAATATTATATTTTGTAAAAATAATGCTCATACACAAATATGCTGCCATAATAGCAAGAAAAGAAATGCTTCCAAAAAAGTAATGACATCAAAATATATTTAAACACATGGATTCATAGCAAAAGAGCTGAAAGTTATATAAATAAGAAATTTTTACATGGCATTTGCATCTTAATGAAGATACTGAAATTTTCAATGAATTCCACAGTAAAGCCAAAACTGTTTTGAGTTTTTAAAAGTTATTAATAGATAATACAATTATGTATCTAACAAATTACCAACATTTCCTATGTCTTTAACACATTACAGCCTACTCTTTTTTAATTCCTCTACGACCAGACAAAAATTTAATTATATGCATTAAAAAAAATTCTTAACTTAAAAAAAAGCAGTTAAAATTAATTTCTTACTTACTTTTTCATAAAATTATAAAGTTGTTCTTACATGAAATGTTATAAATTAAAAATTTAAGATGAAACTGCAGCCCCTACCCACTCCTAATCATTTGTAGTAACAAGAAATGGGAAAACTGGAATGGGAAACTGCACAAATTAATGGTAGATGAGAATTAAATGGGCAATGAATTAGTACAGCAAACCAATTATTCAATGCTGCATGTTACATACTACATTTGCACATACTTTATTGATTATGATTAGAAATCTGTATGACCTGGATAATAGAATTATGACCCAATCTATAAAAATTAGTAAATATTATTGGTCTTAAATGAACAATAAATGCTGAGTCTGATGTTCATTAAATCATACTCACATGAAATAAGCTGATCAGTCATTTAACTTTAGATTCTATACATGGAAACTTTAACATTAAGTTTTTGATTTAGAAACATCTTATCAAAAGTGATATTTTTCAATAAACGTCAAGTAAGAAAAACCACATACATGATTAGGGAAACATATAATATTTAAGACAGATAATATGTAACATATAATATACAATAATAAACATATAATAATTGCAAATAACATTGTTAATAATTAATGACTTTTTTCTTTTTTAAATTATAATTTTCTTTTTAAAATTAAACCATGTAATACTCGGTACACAAAATTTTTAACATAGCATTCAGAGCAATAAAATTAAAATAATTAAATTTGAATGCCTAATGAAACTTTTTAAATTACTAACTAATTCGATTTAAATTTGGATTACACACATATAGTACATTTCAAACAAATAATGCAAATCTTTCATTCTGTTAAAATATTACCAAAAAAAACTTAACATTGATATTTTTTACAATACAAACAGAACCAATAGCAACTACTAATTAATACAGCTAAAAAAATGTCTTTAATCGGTGTGCCCGTTATTTTTTTTATTCTTTGGAAGAATAAAACTTATAACTATAAAAAATTGTTAAGTTATTGCTCTTTTAATTGTTTTAAATTTTAAATTTTAGCTCAAGTCTATTATAATATAATATTATTCATATATAAGCAAAATCAGAGTTCTACATTCAAATTTGGTCACTAGTTCCATTAGTTGTAACAGTATTTTACACTCATTAAGTGAAGAAAATCTAGATGGTAATGTGTGAACTGCACAGTAGCTAGGAACTTTACAATAGCTTTATTTTGAATGACACAACAATATTTTACATCTTCTGAATGATCTACGAATAAGATTATTACAGGTTTAAATAATATAAGATTATAAAACTTAATCAATAGTTTATTTAAATTAATGTTAAACATGTTCTGATTAAATTATATCCTATAATTATATTTCACATTATGAATTCTGTCAATCTCACACAAATGCTGTTTAAATGTTAGATTTATTTAACTTACTTTTGACACTTTACCATGTCTAATTTAAAAACCATCAAGCTCATTAATTGAAAAGCAGCCTATTATTGTTTACAGAAAGCACGTTGAAGTTTGATATATAAACTCTGATGCAAAAAGAAGTCTGATGCCATGAAAGTACATTCCAGTAAAACCCAGTGGCTTGTAAGACTATATCAATTATACAATTATGCAGAATATCAACAGCTAAGCTATACTGATAATGGGCTTGAAAGAGGCTATCTGATTTAGTTGACATGTTGCTGCTAGTGGGCGATGGAAGGCACAGTTCAGCAATACAAATTAACAAGGATGACTAGAGGAGCTTCAGAAGACAAAGTGAGAGCAAAATAATCACATGGCCAACATCAATCATCATCAATGGATATAGGATGTCATCTCTAGACATAAATACATCTTCCAAGCAACTCGAGGAAGTATACTTCATTCTTATAGGCCATTCTGTTTCTTAATAAGTAACTAGCATCATTAGCACTGCTTGCTTATGCTGTTTTGATAAAAATAAATAGTGCTTTGCTACTTGCACAGTCTTTGGCAAAGAAAAAAAAAATCACAGATAGTAAGTCCATAGCTTAATCATACTTGCTTACAGATGTGCCAGCCCCCATTATTTTGGAAACCATCTCCTACAACAGGACTGTCTGTCTAAGGAGACATTTTCCATGATGGCTTAAATAATGGTATCACAGCAAGTTTATGAGACTTTAGCATCGATTTTATAACAACTCTTATCATATTTACATGTTATATTTTACCCAGAAAATATCAAGCCAAAGAGTGCTAACTTTAATAAAGTAGCATCTTATTGCTAGTTTAATCACCTGATTTTTTCCTTAATAAAGGACTTGTAGCACATTAAGGGATTCATCTATTTTTCCTCACAGAATAATGAAGTGTCCATCCAATTAGCATGTTATCCATAAACTGAAACAGCTAACCACTAGTGCCCAAAGACGACTGACAGTACAGTATGCAGACTTCTTCTGATTTTGCAGTTTCCAAATACAATCATCAATCTATTCATTTGCATTCATCTGTTATCATTGTCCTTTTTAGACTGACCAAATGATTTGTTTTGGATTTATTTTGTTGTTGTCAAAGAGCTTAGCAAGGAGGAAAAATATTTTAGCAAAAAAAAAAAAAAAAAAAATTATTAATATGTTAATATATATATCTTAATAACAAACATTTTGCTAAAATCTACTGCACAAATAACCTATTCCTATGCTAGTGTTCTGTTAAGTCTCCAGGAAGCATACGAACCAAACAGTAATTGTTCTCACATTCTTTTTGTGAGCAATCAAAACTTGTACGCATTTGTTTTAAAATGTAAAAAAACTATAGTTCACTATTCAAAAACAAGTATTATAAAAATCATATGTCATGGAATGCTTTAAAAACATTATAAATAACAAAATACATTAAAAGTGACCATTTTTTAATTCATAAATTCAAAACCTAATAATGTAAAAAATACAAAAGAAAGATTAAACAATTTTTCGAAACATGTACAGCAACATTTAGATATTCCCTCACAGGGGTTTTTTCAATGAGCAATATTTAGATAATACTTTTACAGTCATTATAAAACTTACACAATCACGTTTTTTTAATATGGTTTCAATGATTTTTTTTTTTTTTTTTTTTTTTTTTTTTTTTTTGCATAATTTTAATCCTTAATCGCTATAATCAGAATAATACTTCATTTCAGCCCAAATGTGGGCTGAGTACATAAATTCAGATGCAAACTAATTTTATTTTAACAGAAAATTCAATCTGGCAGTTCATTACTTAAACATTCTTAATAATAATGTGAGTTATGTTAAAACAAACTTTGATAAATAAATTCATTACCATAAAATTTCAACCAAGTAGGGAAAACTGTGATCTATGAGACTATTATTTACAGTGGTTAAGGATTAAATAAAATTTAAATTACTTAGATATTGCAATTATTTATTTAATCTTACAAATTGCACATTAATACTTGTCAATCTCTGACACATGTCCAGCAATCACAGTAAATAGCTTTCATTATTTAAAAAGAAATATACAAAATGGGAGGTAACAAACAATTTTCAACAAAGCACTCCTATGTAAGGCACAGTTTATGTGCTTATAATTGAGCTCAAATATCAGGCAAAAGGTTTTCAGTTATAACCTAAGTAAATAGTAAAATTTTTCAAAAGACAAGCAAAGTATAATTTGCTTAAAATACTCTTGGATCTTTTCAAAAGGCAAACGATGCATGGCTTGCTTAAAAATCACTTGGACATGTAGGTAAGCTGAAATTTCCAAAAAGATTACTTTCATACATTGTAGCAACAACCATAAAGAGACCATACCATGCAAGAAGAACAGCTCCATATTTTTTATCAAGTTTCCACTGATTCAAATGAGTAGCCAAAAGCAGAAATACTACAGTCAGCAATAAAGTTAGTGTTGAGTAAGTTAGACCTGAATATGAAATGATTTAATTACCATTTTTGAATGCTAATAATTTATTACAAAGCACTAAGAAGACAAAAAATAACAAATATAAATATATACACAGGATGTCACATAAAATATCATACCATTCAATTACCTGATAAAGGTTTTAATACTTTTTTTAAAAATGAGTATTTAGGCGCTTTTGTTCATGGGATCTCTGAAAGCAGACCATTCACATCTCACAAACTGGAAGCCACTGGTCCTGTGTCACAGAAGAATCAACAGTGCCCACCATGTGTCCACAGACATAAAAACAGCAACAGGTCACCTTTTAAACATAGTTTCGTACAAGACGGAGCCTAGCCACTTGCTGCAAATGTTGCTCTTGATTTCCTGTATGAGATATTTCACGTAACTGTAATGTCACATTCACTTCCTGAACATTATAAGGGCCCCTAAATAGCCTGGATATTAATTCACAACATTTTTTGTGAGATATTTTTAAAGATTTCACAAGGAAGCTTGCAAATGCACTGCAACTCAAAGCTCATATTGTGCAATTGTGCCATGCAATTTCAGAAGATGTGTGTTGCAGGATTATGATAAATGCAGAGGCTCACTTGCAAGCAGTTGTGAAGAAAACACTAATCACATTCTGTACTAAACTCACTTTACAACTGCATTCAGACAGTAAACTATGCATTTATCTTGCAATATTTCAATGATATACATATGTGTAAATAAGTAAAATACAAGGACTATGACATTTCAAACCCTCACCTGTATACATATATATTTATGTGTACAAGTCTCAGATCTGGAATCGTTGGGAATTTGGTAGTTCAAGATTTTGGAAATTTCTGGATTTTAGATCATCAATGTTTAAATCTAGTAAAATGACATGTAGAGATTATAAAATTAAAAATAGTCTTTGTTGATATTTCTTTAAGAAAGATATATTTTGCATAAAGATTTCTTCTGAATCATTGTCCCGTGAAATTAAAATGTGTTTTGAGGGCAAAATGTAGATAATTTTTGGGTTTAAAATCATACTACAGCTATTCACCACTTTATTAATTGATTGATAATTGAGGTATTGTATGACTCAATCATCAATTAAATCAACTTCATTTAGCATTTCTTTTCATATGACATTAAACAGAAATTTTTTATTTGGGATATGCGAAATTTTTCTAATTCATATCTTTTATCATCGTCATGAAATTTGGTAGCTGGTTATATATTGTGACAAGCATTTTTTCAATATATCTGCAAACACATCCTCTCATGATCTTCCACTGGTCCTCCACATGACATTTTATATTAAAATATTCCTAGAATTCTTGGATGATCTTACTATTTTATTGATTTTTTTAAAAAGCTACTTTATATCTGCATTTCAGTGTACACGAAATTTCAGTATCCATTGGCTAATTGACAGATGCACAGTTTCAAGGAAAGAGTAAAACAGAGACAATATCATTTACTATAAATATAATTCTAATAAGATTAATAACAGATGAAGCAAAATAATAACTGCTTCAAACTGGAAAGTTAAAGAAGAGCAAATCTGCTTTTTTAACTGAACTTAAATTCTTTATTCGTTTTCCTTTCCCTGCTGTTGTGATAGCATAAGAAAACCAATATAAGAAACATCCCACTCAAAATAAATATTTTTATGGCTTCCCTTATTGTTTAGGTCAGACAGAAAAAAGCTAACACCTCCCTAAACACTCAAATGCTGAAAGTGTGTTTGTGGCTAACTTCAATTCAATTTCACTCAATGTATTGTCATTGACCATAATATGATTCCTTAGCCAGCAGGTGTTCAAAAGTGACACACAGGAATCTCAGTCAGTTTGTAGACAAATATATTTTATGGTACATCTGCTTTTTTCTTATATTCTCCATTTCTAAACTTTGTAAATAATCCCCCCCCCTAATGTTCCCTATCTCTAGCTTCGTATTCTATACAAGTTAAAAAAAAAATGCACAAATCAAAATTCCAACTTTAATTTGCAACAGTCCTTTAATTTTCCATTTTAATTTCATTATTTCTCTTTTCCATCCTAAAAACAATGACTGTTAATATTAAATCACTCTAAACTATGTTTTCAAAATTAATCTCTGTCATATGATTCTTACGGAAGGCTTATAATGCATACACTTACATAATGCTACAGCTAATAATAATTTCAAATTAAAACTTAAAATTACCAATCAAAATAAACTAAACTAAAACTAAATCACTGTGAATGGAGATTTCATCTTAGACATGTAATATTCCAATTCTCACTAGCTATCTTGCCAATATATTGCCGCTTACCTCTCCTTCATCAACTGTACTCTTTATAAAGATGTAAAAAGTCTGAAATATAATCAAGAATGGGCATACAGATTGCATCCTTTGCATTCTGCAAGTCAAGTTAAAAACGTGCTTCTCAAGTACCATCTTATGTTCAATAAAATGCATTCAATCAGTAAATGAATGCTGCTTAATGATTCTTTCCATTAATTTCTAAAACATGTTGTGCATATACACCATGTCTAAGAAAGTCTATACCTGGCCTTTATTCTTGCAGCTGTTGGTAGCAGACATAGAATTCCAGTTACAAAAGTGTTTAGTGATAAAAAAACAAGATAAAGCAAGTTAGGAAGGAACATTTTGATTTTGGGCAATGGTTTCTTTTACAAAATAATACTAGGCCCCATACAACATTGCCTACACAACAATAGCTTGCTAAGCATTCTATGATAAATCAGCCACCATACTCTACCAACTTATTGGCACCTGATGTGATCCTTTTTCTAAAGCTTAAGCTAGAAATGCAAAGACAGAGATTTGGAAACATCTTGGATATTAAATCAAATGTTAAGTTTATTTTGTGAACGGTTATTTCCAACATCTAGAAGACCTGAATAAATGTTAGAAAAATTGCATAGACCCCTCTGGTGAACATTTTGAAGGAGATAAATTTATTTGAAGGTTAGTAATCTTTTTCTTATTTATAAGAAACTGAGAGAAGAAATTATAAGAAATTCAACAATCCTCCCTGAGTATCATGAAGTTATGTACTAAACAGTACAATAATACTGACACCTAATAAATAACTTTCAATAAAAATAACAAAAATTCACGCTTTGCGATATGTTTTTTCTGTATTTATTTTATAATTATTCTTTGTACTTCGTGTTCACACTTTCAAAAAAGCTGAAATAAATAACTGCAATTAAGAAAAACGGCTGTTTCCTACATAAAAAAAAACTGTCTTCTTGTAATTAATAAAATTATTCATAATAATAATTTGGGAAGCTGCCCTGTTAGCATAGTGATAGGAGAGCTAGTTGTCACAGTCATAGGCCTGGGTTCAAATAAGAGAGAAAGCCTGGATGTTTGTAAGAGCATAGTAGCTCTAGGCCATGGAGGCACTTAACATACTGTCAAGCCAAAAATCCTGTTAAGAAGTTGGTGGGTGGAGAACAGGGGTAGGAAATTTTTGGAACCACCCACCCCCAGGATGTTCTCCGTCAACCCAGAATACAGCTTGGCAATTTGTATAAGGAGCTCAAAGCCTAAGCCAGCAACAAGAACAAACCCTACCTCTTAACTTAAAATTCACAAATTTGGTTTGATGTTACTATCACACAAATGAAATGATGAGTTATAATAGCATTTGATAAAAACTAATAATTTACAAATTATTCTCAAAACTTGCTTACCTCTACTTCTTACAGGTATTTTAGAACCAGGTTCAGCAACAGCAGTCTGTAGAAACCATGGCAGGCCTAGACACAATAAAATATCAAAAACATTGCTTCCTACCGCATTTGAAACTGCCATATCACCAAATCCTAAAAGTAGCAAAAAACATTAATTAGTAAAAGTACTTTAATATAATAAAAATTACAGATAATATAATAAATATCTCACTGCATGTGAATATTTAAATCATGCACATTAACTTGAAGGAACATCTTAGGATGATCTTGGATGCTAAAAATAAAAGTTTTAATAAAATCTTAAAGGAATAATATACACCAAAGAGCCACTACATTATGACCACCCCTTCCTACAGCAATGAGCTTGTCTGAAGACAAAACCAAAGCATGTGTGTGGCTGATGCTGGAGTATATAAAGTGTTCACGTACTGTTTTTCTATAGAGTGTTTAGCCGCAGAATGGCAAAAGCAGCTAATTTATCAGATTTTGAGAAAGGTCAAATCATTACAGCTCAGTGCATGGGAACACCGATTTCAGAAACTTAGTAAGCTGCTCACTTGCAGCCATTGTGAGTACTTATCGAAAGTGTTGTATGGATGGTGAAATGACAAGTTGCTGGTCAGCAGTTTGTTGGCCATGATGCATTGATTCCAAAAAAGAGCAGAGACTGTTACACATTGTTCACTACAACTGAAGGACTATAAAGGCCAAAATCATCAGCATCTACAACAGTGGCAACCCAGACAGTGTGTCTCAACACACAGTGCAGGGTATACTGGTGCGTATAGGCCTACACAGCCAGGGCCCTAATCGCATCCCTGTGCTAGTGGCACGTTATTGCCAACAGTACCTGAAATGAGCCAAGAAACATGGGCAGTGAAACCACAAAAGGATAGGAGAAAATTGCCTTGTCTAATGAATCACACTTTCTGGCCGAGTGCGATTACGCTGATTGACAATGAAAACCCAGGCACTCGGGTGCATAGTTGACTGGATACAAGGTGGCAGCATTATAGTGTGGGTGATGCTTTCATGGAATACACTAGGATGCATCACTCCTATAGAAAAATCCTTGACATCTCAGCCTTGCAGACCCAGTCTACCTCTTCATGGCAACAGTGTTTTCAACAGGTGATGGTGTTTACCAACAAGATAATGCACAATATCATAATGGCTGAGTCGGCAATGACTGGTTCTAGAAACATTCTGCTGTATTTCATGTCATGCCTTGGTCTCCGAATTCACCTGACATAAATCCAATCAAATATTTGTGGTTCTATCCAGAAAAACAAATTTATGCTGCCACGCTACCATGTTGCAATGTGTGGGCATTGCAGGACTAGTTCGTGAGTGCCTAGCATCTAATACTGCAGGTTACCTATCAGTATCTTGTTGAATCAATGCCTCACCAGGTGTTCGTGGTTTTGCCGGGAAAGGTGATCTTACTTCACATTAAAGAGGTGGTCATAATGTAATGACACTTGAGTGCATGCAAATTTAATGGCTGCTATTAAGATATTTAATCTGCATCTCCAACAAATTGAAAACATTTCAGTATTATTCAAACATGTTTAATTAATTAGTTATATACACAGAGACTCCCAGTATTCTAAATTGCATATGACTAATCTTGTACATGCATGGTACATACTTGCACTCTCAACAAATATGCTTCTGCAGTTTAAATAAATGTGAAATATTTAAATGCATAAGTATGAATGTTACACAGCAGTCTTTAAATGAAATTACTAGGGGTTATATGAATTACTTTTTCCAAGTCAAAGTTTTGTATGAAAATATTTCTAGGTACGGTATTTCTGTAAAAGTACACTTTAAAGAAAACAATTCAATTGTCTTTGTTAACCATGTACAGAGAACACAAGACTGTTATAATAAACTAACTTCTTCAATCAGCCATCACTAATTCAGATTAGGTCAACTTTAAACAGCAAAAAAAATATATATATATAGTTTAGGAGAATGCCAAGACAAGAATCCAATATTAGTTATGGCATGATGCATTTAGCCTGAGATGAACAGCTATCCACCTAACCAACCTGCACAACGGTGAATGTATTTTGCCTTCATCAGACTGTACGATCCAAGTTTCCATTGTGAGAGTCAAGTTGACAGGTAGACATTTGAATTACAGTTTGCTGCTTTGAATAGTCAAATTCTTGAAACTATGCATATGACACTGGCTAGCAAGTGTTAATTTTTAGCTGCACTACAAAAAATATCTTTTCAGTTAAGTTTCATCTACTACCTATCTTCTACTAAGTTAAAGACTTTTAGTTATTGTGAAGATGAAAAGCAAAATTAAACATGTGTAATTAAATAGTTAATTGGGTCTAATCTTACAATATAACATATGGAAATTACAAGAAATTTTATAAAGTATAAAACAGTTATAAAAAGAAATCCTTATTTTGTCTGTACATGTCACACATAGATACAAAATAATGTCATTAATTAACAGTAACGGCTTTGTTACGTCGTTTTGGGTAATGAAAAATTTTAAATCTTACAGGAAAACTCTGCTTTCAGATAATGCAGCAAAACGGCATGCAGTATTTATGCAATATGTATATAACCATTATACACATAATCATCAAGCTATATACAATTTTTGTTTTTAACCTTACTGTATATTCTGGCATATAAAACACACTTTTAATTTAAAAAAAAAAAAAAAAAACAAGACTGAAATTTACTGGTGGGCATTATACATAAAATATAAAAACAATAGATTAAAAATATGGAAAAGATGAGCATAAAAAAATTAAGATTTCTACATGCACCTAAATTTGGTTACTTCAAAGAAATGACGTAACTTGTGGAAGTATAAATTTTAATTATCAGATAACATGAAAAGTTCATCATATTCATCTTCTGTTATGTTTTCAGGCATATTACTGACTTCTGTTTCATCTTCACCATCACTGCTACTCTGATCTATAAATAAATAATCAACTTACGATCCAATCTAGATTGCTAAATAACTACATTTTTAAATGACTTTTGAATTATGATCAGCTTAATTTCATTCCATGCTTTTATTACCTACTCACACATTATTTCTAGAATGGCATGATGCATTTGGCCTCCTTTTTAAAATGTTTTTTCACTTAATAAAAACCATGAATTCCACTGTCATTTTTTTCTCTGAAAGGTTTATTGAAAGGTATCAGCCTTTAGATGATACACACATCTAAAGGCTGAAATAATGGCATTAATCTGCCTGGAATAACTGACATATCTGTGTCATGACCTTCCATCAATTTCTTCATGTTATCCATTCGATGGCATTTGAACATGTCCCAAATTAAAAGACTTTCTAGATTCTTTAAGGCAACAGGATGCTTTCGTCAAACATTTCTTATCCACAATTTTACACCATTTTCCTCCATTCGTCCTTTCTCATGAACATAGATGAAAACACCATTTTGAAAATTACATGGCATCTTTCTTTTAAATATAACCACAAGTTTTAATTTCGTTTAAGTATTCTGAAGATTTTCTAGGACCCAGCTTGCAACACTTTCTTTTAGGACAGGCCATTTTATTATGCCTTTATGCAAAGCACATTTATTCTTTCGCATACTAATTCCATTGATTTTGTTTTTCTTCCACTCATATACAGAGTTTTCCCAACACCAAATCCATGCTACAGCACGATTTCCATTTTCATTTGCAAATTGAATGACTTTGCATTTAAAACAAGCATTTTTTTTTTTTTTTTTTTTTTTGGGCATGCAATTGTTAGTCACATTTACTACTAAAAGGAACACTAGATCAACTATATTTCAACTAAACCAAATGCGATTTACTAAAGCCTTTTATTTTCACTTCAAAAGACTAGAAAAAGAAAACACCTAACTCCTAATTCCATGAATTCATTCAGGTTGGAAATGCATTCTTACCCCAAATTATGTTCCCTTTTCTTGAAATCCCACAATAATATTCTAGTACAAACCTGCACTTAATACAACCAACCCTCTTAGCAGAATTATTTACTCCCTCAAGGATTCCCCGCACACACACACACACATACATATAGTTCTCATGACTCAATTTTGAAGTTCTAATGACTTCAGAAGATAATAGCATCACACATGAATCTTTCAGGTTTCTTCTTGACGAAAAGGGTGCACATTATAGGACACACATATCTAAAAATTACAAAAATCAGCCAGCTAATGTCAATTCATCTACTATTGCAATTGAGTGTTTTTGACATTTTGCTGTTTTATATATGACAATATTTGCAACATTTAATAGAAGGTAATAGGTCCTTGGATTAAAATTAGAATCACTGATATATATATAACTGGGGAAATATTGATACATATAATATAGTCATGACTTTGTTTTGCAAACTGTGATAACACTTAGGAAAAACAAATTATGAATTTTTGTATCTTTAGCTTTTGTGTATTTAATTTTCATCCAATATGGTTTGGTTTATTTGATTATGCAAGGTACTTGAGCGTTATCTGCCTAAGGAGAAGGGTGCCTTAGAGGATGACTTTCTAAGGGAACTGGCTAATAAACACACTGCACATGGGAAAACCATGAAAATGCTCAAGCAGTCAGCCTGTTCGCATAGATTCAAACCCCGAACCAAACTACTAGTGTTCAGTGACTTTACTGCTCAACCGCTGGTGGGCCTTTATCAAATAATTACATCATGTACAATAATACATACCATCACGGACAACAAGAAGACTAGATATTGCATCTGGAATGCTTGCACCAGCTGCTAAGAATGTCAATCCCATGATGGTGTCTCTTATGTGCAGAGTATAACCTGATTTTTAAAAATATATTAACATAAAATAAATGTTTCAACAAACTTTAAATATATAAAAAGGATTCAATTAAAAAATTTAAAAAAAATAAATAAAGCATGTATATATGCCACACTAACACATTTTCCAAACTAATTGCTTTGATTCTTCACACATTTCTTTTTCTGCTGATCTGAAGCTCTTAAAAATGCTTGGAGGTATCGTTCTAAAATATCCATATTTTCATCATAGAGGGTAGATTAGTTATCAATTTTGAGGTTTTGCACTCATCTTTATATTCCTCTTACCAGCTTTTTTTCAAAAATCAAGGGAGGGTCATTTTAATAAGTAATAAAATTCTGCAGACCACCTTACTCTTGTCTCTTCGAAATGTATTAACATGTGTTACCACCAGTATACTTAAATTTTTGAAAATACAATTAATTAAAATTAATTTACTTTTATATTTGTATTAATAAAGTAAAAGGAAGAAAATTAATACTTGTTTTTAGCAATTCAAGGCTTTCACAGTTTGGATAATCTTTATATAGTAACAAAAAATTAAATAAATGCTGGTACTCAGATTAATGAAGGGGATGAGCCTGCTGATTCTAGCATAGCTGTTCATGTCTGGATGTCTGCTAGTACACTACGTTTTTTTGAAGCTAAGACTAAAATCAGAAGTTGACAGATAGGCTAACTGGTAATAAACTTCATAAAATACCAGTCCTAGTAGAAAACATTATAAAAAATTGCCATGTATAATTTCCAAACTCTGCGATTTTTCAGTTAGCCAAGAAGCATGCAATTTATGAATGGCCATTTATATAAAAAGTTTACACCTTGAACCCAAAAATATCATAAAATGTGTCTGAAAAAAACAGTAGATATTCATGTATGTTTTTTTTTTTTTTTTCTATATACATTAAGCTATACCTAAAATTTAGGTATAATCATGCAAATTATTACAATGCAAATTAATTTTATAATTTGCATTGTAAAAATTAATTATAATTATAATTTGCATTGTATAAAATTAATTTGCATTGTAATAATTTGCATTGATTGCAAATTATTACCATTTATCTGCAGCTTTTACATATAATATACAAAAATTTCAATATTTACATAATTTTAGTAAAATTTATCTTATTATCACAATTTCTTCAATTTTTGTTTCTTACTTTGCGTATATGTAAATTTTTTGTAAAAATTTAAGCATGCAAAATTTTTTACTGAGCAAAAATGAAAACTTTGCAAAGACATTAGGTTTTTTTTTTTTTTTTGCAGCTAGAGCAATTGAATAATATGCAACGCAGCCTCCTGGACTGGAACAACGGGCCTCTCGAATCCGCATCAAGTGTGCTGACCACTACACTATGAAGGCATGCTAAGAAGGCGAGAGAAATACCTTATATACTCCCCCTTTTAAAGGGCAACTGAGGTTTTTAGGGGACCCAATCGCCAAATCCTGGGAGCGGAGAATCATCATCCAACATTCTTTTAGTTTGGGCGCTACTGTAAAGACATTAGGTTTTTTTGGAAGCAGGTAAGATAAAGGATTAGCAATTACCTTCGCCAGTAATCGAACTACGGACCTCTGAAATACCGGCTCAGTGTGCTGCCCACTACACCATGAAGGCATGCTAGAAAGATGGGAGAAATACCTTATAACTTTAGGTAGAAATTCACATTAATTTCCCCTGTGTTTTTATTTTTCATGTACATATAATCTTGGTAAAAATTCAGATAAATCTCCAGTATATTAATGTGCATTTTTTCACAAAAAAAAAAAAAAAAAAAAAAAAAAAAAATGTGTAAATCAACTATTTCCTTACTAAATCTACTACTGCATTTTTTGTTAAACAAAACATCAACAGAACATCAGACTTGATATTGTGTACAATGTCAACACACTGTGAAGTTTGTTCAAATAAAGATAAATTTAAATTCTGATATTAAAGAAAAGATGATTTTATGCATCCAGAATACATACAAAAATAAAGGATAGGTTTCTGTGGCCCACTAGGGAAAAAATTCTAAAAAATTAACTTCCAATTTGGAAGCTTCAGATTATTCGTATTACAATTTAACAATGTAAAGGACATTTACCATTCAAAATTCTGGTTTTCCCTATAAATCCCTTTTCATTCTCGCAGCTTCAGAATTTGAAGATAACCTCATTTGTAACTAACCTTGAAATTCTTCCCATTCTTTTGAAAACTATAAACACTGCACAAATTTCCCCTTCCGATTTGAAAACGTTTTACTTCAAAAAATTTGCAATACAAAATATATGAACAATGTACAAGTCATATTTGAACACTGCATATTTTAAATTCTTGTCAGTTTTCAATCTTAAGCATTACGTTTTCATGCAAATTTTTAACATTTATCTAGACTTAAAAGTTTTAACTTTTCTGCAATTTAAATTTTAACATTTCCAAACAGTACAAGTTTTTAATCATTCATGTAGCAATATTTTTTTAAATTTTTTAACTATTCCTTCCTCACAGAAAATTTTAAAGAATTTGGATAATTTCCATAAAAATATAAGCACAAAAAATTAAACATTACAAGGAAATATGACAGTAAATAATGTTTCTATTTATTGCATTTGTATGATATTTCTTTGTTTATGAAGCAGGGGCTGTCAATTTAAGAAAATGAGTTCATGAAATCTATGAAAAAATTTCAGATACATTACAAAAATAAGATGGAGACCTGAAAAACCAAACAAACTAAAAATATCTATAAAGTAACAAATGCGGGGGGATTTTATAACATGACTTTAAAACATAACAGAATTGATTTTTGTTATCACTTTATAAAGGCACTTAATTTAGTAATATAAATTAAAATCATTACTTAAAACTCTCAGTCACTTTTTTTAAGAATGGTATGTGCTATAATTATTTAGAAATGGAATTACACTTTCTACATATATTCATTCCCTTCTGCAAATCAATGAGTAGTCTGATTTGGAATCAACTGCACTTTTAAATTTTTTCTCCATAAGGAAAACTATCTAAACAGATTAGAAAATAATACTTAAATTTCTCTTTGTTTTGTAAATGAAAGCACCTCTTTCAGAATGAATCAAATTACCTAAAAGGGCCATTGCTATAAACAGCAAGGAATTTCTTAAAAGGGGGAAAGCATAAGGTATGACCCCCTCCCCTTTTTTAAGGATCTTACAGGCTTCAAATCACCAACCTCAAAAGGTTAAAAACTTAGAGATTACAAATGAAGTCTTCATAACTACACCTTTTTCTTTTCTCCAATTTCAATAAAATGAAAGGCATTCAAATTACTGTCTGTTATTAGCTCTCTATCACAATTTCACTTTTTCAGATGCAGTTTCATTACATACTTAAAGAAGAAAAATAAATAATCTGCAGGCATCTATGTACTGTTTTTTAAAATGAAACTGACCTCTACCCTAACTTACCAATAATAGTTATCATCCAAACAAGCACATATGACAAGATACCTATCCAAATGCATGAAGATAGGAATGTTACAAAAAACCACCTTTCCCATTTGCTTTTACGACAATCAGGAACCGTGAAATAACAAAACAGGAGCAGTGGAAGTGATAAAACCCACAGAATTTTACGGCAGGTTCCTGCGGGAGGTGAGAATATATTACTTTCTTCCTCCTCAGTAACAGGCAGGGATGATTCAAAGCTTTGCAGTTCTGAAATGAAATTAGAGTATAAAGAATTAATAATAATCATTCCTGATAAAAACATGAAATTTGGGAAAAAAATTTTAAGGAATGCCTCTGTGAAAAAATAAAAAGTAAAAAATGTATAGACAATTTATTTATTAGTCATTAAAATTCTACAACTGGTTTAGATCATAAAATAGTTATGATAAGAATACCTTTAGAACTCAGAATTAAGTGAGCAACTGTTACAACCTTACTTGAATACAAGAAACCGAACTCAAAATTACTAACAGTTTACAGAATGTTTAAGCGACCAGAAGTCAGGAATTTCAGTGCCATGTCTTGCATCAGAATGTATCCTGTAAAATCTCTGATTTTGTATAGTGCCAATCTATCCAACACAAGGATGCTTTTATGGGATTAAAAATATGTCCAATAATCAAATTAAGCATTTTACGACACCTTTTTCTAGAGAATTTGCATGGTTCACAGGAATAATGGTGAGTGATAGAATTTTTTAATCTAGTAATATTTTTTCCTTAAAAAACTGGAAGATGAAAATGAATCATATGTAGACTTACACAAATCATTTTTTGAATGTGTAATAAAAATGAAAAAACATGGGGGAAAGCTTAACTCTCATAAGAAAGTATTTTAACAAAGAGATAATGTATAACAAATTATTTGATGATATACTGCGTTAAAAAAAATATACGCTGCAAGATTAAAGAACTATGCAACTATAAAGCTGAAACTAAGGGAAAGTAGATAGATCCCCCCCCCAATTTCCAAAGCATGCATTTATTTCCAATTTGTAGTCATTAATAACGAAACTCTGCTTACTGGGGGAAAATATGGCCACACAGCATAAATCCTGATTATACTGAAAACTCTCATAATGATTACCTCACATATACAGCCATTTCTAAAAGTGTACAGTATTCCTGAGAATGCAAATAACAAAATGCAGTTTCTTAATCGTTTGAATAATAAAAACATGCCTCAAAGTTTTTTTTTTTTCCCCATCAAAACTGTTTTGCTGCAGAATGGCTTGTGAAAAGTCTGATTGCTTTAAATTATGCTAACAAACTTTAAAAATATGACAATTTCTATAATTTCAATGCATTGAGAGAGAAACTTCAGTTTTTATTATTAGCAATAGATAAAAAAAATATTGATTTACAATAGCTTAGGAAAATTACTTAAAATAAAATCTATACAAAATATGCAAAAAAGATAGCTGTTTACATTATTTTCTTAAACACTGATCACATATTAGCCCTTTGCATTATTTATAATTAATGTCTTACAGTGTTTCTCAAAATAAAGCAGAGAACTTTTTGAATTGAGAGTTCTGCAAATATAAATTAAAATATTTTATACGGCTTCTGAAGAGCAAAAACTCTAATTAGTAAAATATTCATTGCTTTGTTAAACTAAATGCAAAACATTTCATATATTTATATACAAAATTAACAAACATATACATAATTTAAACTTCTGAAGAGCCATCTAAAAATTTCATAATTAGTGTTGTCTAAGCCATTATAGAATCATTAATCATACGCAACTTAAGAATTGGAATCGTTCCTTGAATTTAATTGAAATATCTTGAATTTGTTGGCATTTGGCACTACAAAGTGATCAAAAACAGCAAATTCTTCTTCAGATATCTCTATGAATTTTGTATACAAATATTTTGTACTTACTAAAGCATAATTAACGATGTTTTACTTAAGTTCTTTATGGCACAGTATTAAAAATTAGATTCTATACTTCCTACAAACCGTTTTAAAAACATTTTCCTAAAATATTCTAAAATACTTCTAGACTCTGCAATTAGTAGTATCCCTCTAAGACCAATATTTAATAAAATAAATACTAAAAATCATCTTTCTTGAATGCCTACATGTAAAAGAGAATTATCTATATTTTTAAATTATTTTAAAATTTAGTCTAAGGGAAGAGAAAATCAAATTTGTCGACAGTTTAAAAACTGAACAGAAATATATGCTTCATTGGTTAACAAGGTTTTACTTATTGCCATAAAAAACTGTTAATTACTGTTATGTATGAATACCAAATAAACCCTGAAGTTATTAAAGAACAAGTAAAATAACTTTATCTAGTACTTTCTGTTAGTTGTTTAGACAAATTTTACACATTATATTAGAAAAGCACTAGTTTGTTGCTTATACATTCTTCATTCATATCCATATATTTATTCTTAGCAGAAGTAACATGTTACCATCAAAAGAAAAGTACTGAGAATCAATTCAAATTTTTATATCAACAGTGACTATCTATACAGAAATACAGAATGAATATTTTCATTATATGAAAATTCAGGAGACTGATATAAAATGTTTTAATGCAAATAGTCTTAAATAACATAGACTTCTTCCCAAAAATATAAATATTAAACATAATTAATATTATATAAGAGAAAGAAAAAAGGAGAAAAATAACTCACATTTATGAACACCAACTGAAAACATTTTGACAAATAGATTTGTCCCCCCCCCTTTTTAATGTCACATAACCATAGAATTTTAAACATATTTCACATTTTAACAACTATCAAAATGCAAATAATAAAGTAACAACATAATAATGAAAACAAAAGGCTACACCAAATATGTATAAAATATTTTTACACAAAAATTTATGTGTCTGCATTTAATTTTCAAAGCAATCAATTTTAAATACATTAATGTAATTGCACATGTAAAACTGTGCAGCATGTTTAACACCCTTAGGCTGTGTTCAGATGGGGGCATAAAGGGCATAAGTGGTTAGAGCCGAACTGTGTTGCCAAAACAACCAGTCTATGCTATGTCACATAATCTGGTTTAAGGCTTGTGGCACAAGGTTCCAAGTTTTCAACTTTATGCAGAGTTTGGGATAAGCGTCGAACAATCAGAGCGAAGCGGCTTTCTTTAGACGATTTCACTGTCACATCGAAGGCGACATTTTTTTAAATATGGATCACATCGTATCCGAATGAAATAATGAGTTGATCTCACAAGAAATCTACGATGATGACATGCATTTTTAATGAGTTTTCACAATAAATTGAAAAAAATGGATGAAACTCGTAAAGCGAAAGTTAAGCTCAGGATCACACGCACTGTGTATGATCCTGTAGACGATTGATCCCATCCATTATTTTTCATTTTAATATGAAAATTCTTTAAAAAATGCATGCTTGCAAAAATTTTATTTTTTCTGTGTAAATTATTATTATTTTCTTTCTGTTTATTATTTTTGTATGAATTATTACTATCATTTTCTTCCTGTTTAATTATTTTTGTATTTAAGAACAAATTTATTGAAAAAGCTAGAAGTATTGTATTGCTATTTGCTTCAAATTCTGATTTTCTTTCCAAACAAACTTCATGAATTAATTTTACTAAAACATCAAATCATTATCAAGAATCTGCTTCCCCCCTTTTTTTTTCAGTAAAAATATTACTTTAAACAAAATAAAAAAATTATTTTCACTTATTTAAGAATAGTCACAATAGTCAATTCAATGGTGTAAGCTTTGTATAAGTAATAAAAAATTAATTTTTTGAGAAAATGCTCTTATGAATTCCAAGAAGGAAAAAATGTAGTGGAATATCCTTAAAACAACAGTCTAGATAGTTTTGTCTCCTGTTGATCTCTGTTTTTTAATTACGTTCTTCATGAAAGGAATTTACAATGAAACTGAATAACACACATACATAATTCATAACATGGATTATAATTTAATGAATAGTAGTTGTTATTATTATCCACTCTTTATTAATATCATTTGAATGGAATTTTGATCATTAAATTCATGATATTTCTCTGGTAAAAATTCCTGGATAAGGTATGGATGTTTATAATTTTGTGTTGAAATTAAACTCTTTTGGGTTCTTTAATATGCATGTCTGCCAGTGAGTGAAGAATTGTCATAATCTGTCAGCAAATGAAAAATCATTAAAAGTAATTACTTCTGACAACAGATGTGGATGAAACTTACATCTATGACATCTCACAGCATAGCAGAGTTTAATTTGAATTATTCATATGATGTAAACATACCAGTTTGCAGAATTATCAACAAAAATTTCTGAAAGTTAATGTTTACTATATACTCTAGTCTCTCGAGTGTACCCCCCCCTTTTTTTTCAGAAAAAGCATATGAAATTCAGGTGTGTGGCTTATACATGCAAATTATTAGAAATAGATGTATACAAACAGCTGGCAACTCAGCAAAATGTATTTAATGATTGAGCATAAAATACATTGTTGGGTGAAAGTGTTATAGTATTGTACTACTTGTGGTTGCTAGTCATGGTGACCAGTTGTGGGATACTAGTACTAGTGATAATTGATACTGGTAGTGCAGCCAACTACTGTAGTGATTGACAGTGACAGTGAATAAGGACTGCTAAGCACAGAAACATGTTTATTTTGATTGAAAATTTAACGAAAAAATTAATGTATGGTAAGTACTGTTTTCCGCTTAACTGCATTCACACCTACAAAATCGAAAAATATTATATACAGGCTATCTGTCCCTTATCCTCAAGATTTTTTTTTAATTAGGCATATTTAGAATATCGTATTTCTCCTAAGAGAAATTACATATAAAATCTTAGCATGATTGAAATAGCTAATGATAATTAACATTATCATTAATATTAAACATTGAAGAAGGTTTCATATATATAAATATGCATGTGCATGTTTATAGTATAGAGAGTACTACAGTACAATGCAGAAATATTCCATACTGCTTTGCACAGAAATATGTGCCAACCAAGTATTGGTTTTTCGAAAAAATATCTCTGAACCATTTCGTTCTTTTTTCTTTTTTTACCTTCTTCCATTGTCTCTTGGCTTATAAGAAGGGTAGATAAAAGAGCATTCTGTTGAACCAATAAAACTTTGTGGTGAGCTGAAAAAGCCACGACACAAAATAACAAAAACAAGCAGAGCGAGCACGGGAAATCAGTCGAGCTGGAAAACAGCGCAAGAAAATTTTAGATACATCCCCGCATGCACAAATTTAGCTTCTCTTATTGGCCACAGCTTAAACCCCCGTCTCGCAGGTGTGAACGGAACTCCCGTATTTTATGCCCTTATGACTATGCCTCTATGCCCTTTACGTCGCAGTCTGAACGCAGCCTTAGGGGTATTTTATTGGTATGACATAGTGTTGTACTAATAAAAAAATATATTTCAAAAGAAATGCTCCAGTTCAGAAGTAAAAAATAATAATTATACTTCGTGATGGCTACAGTTGATTGCAACTGCATCATTATGCATCGTAATGCCATTATACCATTCCACTCACGACTGCTAAATTAATTGATGACTTCTTTATTCTCTCATCATACCATTCCAAAATATCACATCTTTGAGTCAATGGGATTCGAACATAGTTTCATATCTTACATAGATATGAGTGTGTTTGTGTGTGTTTATATGTGGAAGGATATTTGGGGATATGATATAGTAAACATATAAATCACTTAACAAAGATGAAATAAATATATTAGAAAGTTTCAAATATTTTGAAACAACAAAAGAAAGATATAACATTATTTATATTGTTTTCACCCTACTTGTTAGCAGGTATTTAAAAAAAAACTAAAGAAAAAAAATCTCAGCTATTAAAAAGTTTATTATGACTTCATTTCTTGGTAAGAGTGTTGGCAAGGCCACAACATGGGTACAAAGCATGATTTTATATCAGTAGCTCCTTAAAATTTAATAATTTACAAATTAAAATGAAAATCCCAAGATTAATTTAAAGCATTAATAGAATTTTTTTAAATTGATGGTTAATTTAAAAAAAACTATCAAACAAAATTATTATTATTAAAATGAAATTAATTCCATGCATAAAAATAAACCATCAAAAAACATAACACTTTCAGCAATCATTAAAAAAATTACAAAATATTTCATACTAAATTAAATGTGTCATTTATCATCTTTCAGTTCTATCTTTAGCTGCTAACAAAATCTTAATCAGATCTTTTAAAACATTACTGCATGTCTGAAGTAACTGTTGTGAATTTCTATCAATATCATTGGTAAATTAGTTTCTTCTGATATTGTTGATATTAAATATTTTTTTAGTAATTTTAAATTGAAAAACTGATTTAGTAACTAGTAGCTACTGATACAGGTGACATTAAATAAATATGTAATACAAAGACAGTATCTGGAAACACCGTAGGCAATGGCAACCATTTCTATGTTTCTAGTTATGTTTACATTAAATTAATTAAATTTTATTCACACTTTGAAGAATACTTTTCTCACTGCTTAATATTATCATTCAATGAATGTTATCAAGTTGTGGACAAATGTGATCACATTAAATGACATTTACTACAATTTTATGTACTATGCATATTATAATCAGGAATATGCATTTAATTGGTTGATAACTAAAATATATTGCAATAAAATATGCTCATTATCACATTTATACTTTATCTTACATGACAAACTTTGATTAATCAACATGACAAATTATATAGTATCACAAAAAGGTACTTCCTTGTTAAAGAGGACACTATATAATTTTTTTCATTACTGATTGGCCAATTAAGTTTGACAATTTACGAAACTATACAGTCACCTTAACTAGGAAATACCCAGAAAATTTATATTCAAGTGCCATAATCTAAGATTGATATGAATTACCTAAATGATCAATTCTAATTAGTGAAATAATTTATTGTACCTGAATTACTAGAGCTAAAATGTTTGTCACAAAAACCATTTTCAAGAAACCCCTGGGTCATATCTGGAAGAGGATGATACATTACTCCATTAACAGGCTCAGAAACTTTGCATCCAAAGCGAGATAAACATTTCAGACTTGTGATCCATGCTTCTACTCGTTGATTAACAAACATAAACAATATATACACTATATACAAAAGTAAGAAAAGGACAGATTCCACCCTGAAAATATAGAAAATCACATACTTAAAACACGAATTTAGTTTTCAAGAAAAAATGTCACAATTAATATATTTAAAAAATTTAAAAGTCAACTGACTAAAGTCAATTTTTAATCAATTTTACATAACTTTTGAGATAATACTTTAAATTTAAACTAAAAACTGCAAATTTGCTTTTACAACATTTGCATAAACTCATTTTGTTGAATTTGTCATGTCTAGACATTTCTTCAGGACAGTAGATGATTTGGGGGGGGGCAAAAGAAATAAAAAGAAGAAGAAGAATAATGATGCACATGTGGACCTAACAAATGGGATAAATTTGCTAGCAATAACTTAACTTGCTTTAAAATGTTTTATTATTTCTGCAATAAAATACAATGTACCTGCAAAAATCATGTGGAAAGTACGGTAGAATTCTGATTCATTTAAAGATGTGATATTTCACTGAATATTTCCCTCTCAAACATACTGGTGTATTTAAAAACGATCACTACCATTTAAGATTTTAAAAATGATTTTTTTTTCAATTTACTTATTTAGTATTTTTAATGAGTAATTAATATTTCCAACTTAATTAATGAACAATTAGCTACTTCATTTTGTCGAGACTTGCCATTCTACATGAATATGTTTTTTCCACATCCGAGCCTCAATGAATCAGAATGTTGAAATATATGATAGATATTGCAGGAGTATGAGCTTGTTTTTGTCTGTTGTCAACAGCTACATAAAATAAATTGATTATTTTGTTTTGTTTGCTTGTTTGTTTTTTCAATGCAAGCAAACATTTTTGAATTTTCACAAATTTTACTGTATTTGTTAGCACAATCAGTGATGATTTAGAAATCAAAAAGTCATGTTTTGACAATCATTTAGACATATTCAAATAAAAAAAGAGAGAGAGATCATCAATTATTTAAAAGAGAAGAATACAATTTACTTTTTCCGTAAAAGCTAAGGAAAGCAAAGGGGAAGACTTCTGGCTGGCAAATCACCAGAATATTATCAAGAAATGATATTATAAAAATTAGTCATGTTCAAAAGCTCATCATTACAGTTGAAAATGAAAAAGAGACCTGATTATTTATTATGCTTTTATAGAGGAAAATTTTCAAAGAATTCATGAGAGTCATTTAGCAATCAGCCAAGGTGGGTGAAATAGAATGATGGAAGAATTTAAGATAAAGTATAAGAACATTACAGTCAAAATTATAATTACATAATTTAAATTTTTTTTAACCTTTTCAAAAGAAATAAAACATTCCAAGAAAAGGTTTTCTTGTTGAACCAATAAAAGTAGTGAATTAAGTTCACGGTGTCAAGTTGATATCACTGACATGTATTCACAAGCAGAGACTTTATAATAGTTTATCAAAGCCATTTAACAAAATTTGTTTATTAAAAGCATTAAAAAGAAAATAATCAAAGGGGGTTATTTACAACCTTCTGGGTGTTTTCACAAAACTTGGAGCACTGTGCATCTTGCAAAGTGACACTGACTGAAAACTTGCTAATAAAATTATTGAAGAAGTTTGTGGAATGTGAAATGAACTCAAAATTGTTTATGGAAAGCCATAATATTATCAATCAAAAGGTTCAGTTGAAAGAACAAACTAAGACATTGAAAAGATGTTATCCACTTGGTTTGAAACAAGCAATACGACAAAATGGACAGAAGGAATAAAATTCATTCAGTTCATGAAAAATAGAGCACATCATTCTGGAATAGACTGCAATCCATATGAAGCTGCATTTGGCTGAAAAGCTAAAGTACATTTAAGAGCCTACTGCCAATCAGTACTTTGTCAGAAATTGCAGATGAAGAAAATCTTGCTGTATTAAGAGAGTAATGAGGATGTCAAACTTAAGATAGTAATCTCAACCAAGGATGAGTATACTGGTGCAATGAATAATGAAATATGGAAGTGGAACTGTGTGACTCAAGTGAAGACTTGGAGGTAATAACTGTTGTAAATCCAATACAAAGAAAAATATGAGTGTTGGATGAACAGATGGGGAACAACATAATTCTGAAGTAGATAAGAAAGATAATGAAAAGAGAAAAGTAAAAGGTTTCATTGATGTTGAAATGGAAGACTGTGAAGAAAACACAGAAGAATCTTCTTTAGCAGTCAATAAAATCTTAGAAAATATTCAAGAAGACAGGCACTAGAAAATATTCAGGAAGACAGGCACAAAATAATAAACAAGTGGGAAAAATGTTCTAGCTTTTGAATTTAAAACTTCCAACCACTAATGTATAGAAAACTGTTCAGATAAGAATGCCAGATGTAGACAGGAATAAGGCTGACACAAAGATTTTAATAGCAGTAATAATTTCTAAGGAAAATGAAAACTGATATAAACTAGATACAAAACATGGCTTTTTAAACCAACTCTACACAAGAAAGGATTTTAATGTCAGTATGGAAATGTTTATTTCAATCCAAATATTGAAATAAGACTAAAAGAATGTGCTTATTAGAATTCTAATTTAAATGGTCAAGGACTTATATACTGCAGTTGTACAAGCAATTGTAACTCAAATCACTGGTAATGTAAATAGTCAGAAACCCTTTGTAACTTCAAATACCACAGACATTCTTTCTGCCCAATTAAATAATTTGTTAAAAATATAAGAATATTGTATTTGTAATGCAAAATTTTTGCAATTTGCTGTTTGTTAGAAATGCAACAATACTGTATTTTCAATGTAATTTGTATGCAACTTTTTGTTAAGGTGTTTGTGTGTCATGTAATTTGTTTGATGTAATAAATAATTAGTGTATCTTATAAATAAGCATAATCATTAATATAAAACATTATTTTACACTCACAAAATTCCATTACTAATAAAACTGCTATGTATTTAACTTTATGCACTTCATATAACTTGACATTAGAATTACATTACAGTTTAAGGTATCAGCTTATTATTTATAATTGCACTAACCAAATTTGATTGGTATTTATTCATATTTCCCGATCAGTGCGATTATTTCGCATTATTTATCATATTAACCAAAAGATGTGGTATTTATTAATAATAACCTGTTACTATTAATACTAACCGAAATATTTCATTTTGACCATAACATAAATATTAGCCAAAAAAAAGCTACTGGAAGCATACTAATCAGGCTAGTTAAATTTTACAGAAAATTAAAATATTTAAATTAGCATGATCATAGTTCATCATATAGAGTATAAAAATACTTAAACGAGTAGTAGAATATTTCATGTGAATAAAATATAATGATATAAATATGAATTAGTTAAAAAAAATAGGTTCTTCCACTTAAATGGAAGAAATCTATTTCTTTAGGCCAGTTTTTGGAAACAATACACCAATCTAACACATATTGCTAAAATATTAAATAATACACCAGATAAAATGAATAAAATGTAACTATATTAATAACTTACCATGTTACACTTTCATCTCGTAAGGCAAAAAGTAGAGCTAATATGCTGATTAAGTAGAATACACAATCTCTAAACATGGGCCACCAATTTAGGTAAATAGCCTGTAATTACACATATTTTTAGTACATGTGCAGGTAGATTAATAGAAATTACATACTATTTAGTAATGATGAATTTCAACATTAATACATTGCAAAAAGTTTTGATATAAGTATATAGAAAGTTTGAAAAATTTGACAAAAGGATTATGTTTTAAAGAGTCATGAATAAGTACTCCCACGCAGAATAAGGTGCAAAATTTTACAAAAATTTCTTAAGTGAGAGGATTCTGTAAGTGAGTATGAACTTAAAGTGAGTTTGTATTTGTAACTTAAAGTGAGAGGATTTTGTAAAATAAAATTCAATTTTTTAAATAATCTGTATGGAACATTAAAACATACACATAAATAAATCTAAAAGTTTCTGGGCTGACATACTTTTTTTTATAAAAATTTTAATATTTTATTTTCCAGTATAATTACCCTAGTACTTCTTTAGTTCAGCACTCTATCCTCTTGGATAAGTAATCTTAAAGTTTTTCTTCAAAATGCTCCATAAATGTTCTTTTTATCCCATCAACATCATTAAACCTCTTTCAATGAAGGCCAGATTTCAAGCTGGAGAACAAATAACCACTTAAAGTAAACCTGGGTTATAAGGAAAGGGGAACAAAAGCCTCTTGTAGCCACATATCTTCGCTGCTTCTCTACCAATGACAGCTAATGCACAGGAGCATCATAATCGAGAAAATGAATTTCACTACTCCACATTCCATGCTTCTTTTTAATTTCATTGCACAATTTATGCAGAATTGCTTGTGTAATATTCCCATTTAATGATAGTATTTTTTTCCTCTAAAGTGTATGAACAGGATTTCTTGACAGTCTCAAAAATGGTGGCCATTATTCTTTTCATCACATGCTACGTGGAGCTTCAGTCAGTTTTTCTCCACTACACTGATTCCTATTCAATACAAAATCACAGTATGGTCAATCTTTCATTTTCAGTTAAGAATGGTCATAAAAGTTTTCCTTGATTTGCACTGCAATAACTGCTCACAGCAAGTAACATGTTGCATTTACTATGCCACTGAAAGAAAATGGGATATATATCTTGCAGAGACTTTTGTTCACGTGAAGATGTTGCTGTATAATGCAGAGATTACTTATTCTACATAGATTTGATCCTTACTACTTCATTTATTTTTAATCTTATATCACTTAACACATTTTTCTGGAGACAAGCATTATTTTCTGATGTCAATGCTTCCAATGGTTGACCTTCATGATAAATATCTCCTACACATTTTTGTCCCAAGCAAACTTGTTTAGTCATGCTTTCACTGTAGAAAATAGGTAGGGAAGAAAAAATCATCATACACATGACCCAAGCATTGTTTATTTCTTTGGAATTAAGACATTTTTAGCCAAATTTAATCACAGAACGATATTCAATTTCAAACAATTTAGAGCAAACTCGCATATCATGTCATTCAGTAAGCAGTCAAGAAAAAATGCAAATGATTCCATTAACACAATTTTTTAATTTAATCACTTAGTACTGCCACTGCAATAGGAATTTATTGCAAGCATTTTTTTAAGTGTGAGACAGTTTTTTGGATCTACCCACATAAGGAAACCATACAAAAAGATTTTATTTCTACAAAATGCTTCCACCCACCATAATGAATATACTGCCATAACATTCTACACAATATTTTCAATAAATATGTAAATAGAAATATAAATCTAGGAATAAGATTTAAAAAATTAAAACTTGTAGCCACCTTTCTCAAAAACTCATTATCCTTTTCCAGGTTTTCTCTGCAGATAATGATCCCCCCCCCAAAAAAAAAAAATGCTGCTAGCATGCCCAGTTACATTATCTTGCTAATATACATGCAAGAAAATTAACAGGATGAAAAAAATAAGCTTCAATTTTTAAAAAACTTGTGTACATGAATACAATACTAACAAAATTAAACTCAGTGGTGTAACAGCCCTAATGGACCAAGGCCTGCAGTGCCCAAAAATCTGCTTTCTTGACCGTGGGCACCGGGGTGCATAAGCATATGCCCTGAACAAGTGGTCAGCTTGGTCGCAGGACCCCTAGTATTTAATAATATATCATATTAATGGCCTTTCGAAAAAGTGACTTCAATTATTTAAAAATTTCATATTTTCTTTCTTCAGGATACATATATATTAATTAATGCATACAGTGAAAATGTTTATTTTTGAATTTTCATTATCCCTTTAACAATGATACACTACTATAAAGTAACAATTTCTATACTGATGACCTAAAAGCTGTCTCTTACATGATACACTTTTACACGTGATAATATAACGCACTTTCAGTGATGGCAGAAATATTTTTAATTAGTTTATTTTTAAATTTTTTCTTTTAACAAATACTCTCTTTTGTTCCAAATTAGAAAAAAGTTCATCATTACACTTTTCACTGTTCAGATAAAACTGAATGCTATGACCCTATTAAGTTATACACCAAGCATGGTCAAACCGCAGTTCATTGAGTCATATGATACACAGCTCTTTGACCCCTTAAATGTGACTTAATTGCAACGAACAGTAGTATGGCTAGATTCTAAAACGGAAATTATGCAATGACATGCTTCTTTATCAATTAGTAATACAGTCAAAAGTCGTTAATTCGGACACCCATAATCCGGAATGATCTATAATCCGGACCTCAAAGCTACAAACTTTCTGCGCATGCGTCGCGTTCACGCATGCGCACAGCGTTTACGAGAGCGCGTAAGACCCTTACGGCTGCGAATATGTTTGTGCGCATGCGCGTTTAAATTGTAACGGAGTTACACGCTAAGCTAAAGTTATCTAATTCAGTTAATGTTGCCGATTGCGTTGTTCCTTAATTTCGAATTGGATCCGGCTTATTATTTTTGCAGACTGTTAGAGCAATTTTATAAAAGTAAGCTTGAACTTTCGATTATGTCAAATAGAATTTCCGATATATATTTACTACAAAGCGAAAGTATGTTTTGAAATCCGAAATCTGTTTATCAATTTCACGCTGCTCTGCGGCAGAGGGGGGGGGGGCAGAAACGTCATTATTAGATTATGATAGATTAGAAAGATTATGTCAAATAGAATTTCCGATATATATTTACTAATATGTAATTTGTATCTACAAAGCGAAAGTATGTTTTGAGATCCGAAATCTGTTTATCAATTTCACGCGGCGGATTGGAAGTTGATTTGTCAGCACTATCCTTATCTTCAGGGCAGATGTTTTTATTTTATTTGGTTTATAATTCCATACTAAAGTGTAGTATTTCATTCTGTCTTTGATATGATTTAAATCAAGTTCCTCGTCATTATAATTCGCTTCCGATAATGAAGAAAGTGACCCAGAGGTTATTGAAAACGAAAACATTTCGATTGACAAATTAGTCGGTATTCTCAACACAGCAATTATAGGACTTGAACAGCGGAACTTTGTAACTAAACAAGAAATTATGTCTGTTTAATAGAATTAAAGAGAAAGTATTATCACATGAAACGAAGAAACTTACATTGAAGGAAATGTTTAATAAAGTAAACAAATAAATATTGAGCTTTTTCTTTTTGTAAATTTTGATACCCTTTAGATCATAATTGTTCTTTATTTCATAAATTACGGTTTCATATTTTTAATTTTGTAATTTTTGCATGCCATCTTCCTGATTTAAACTGATAATCTATAATCCGGAAAAATCGATAATCCGGAATCGCCGAAGTCCCGACGAGTCCGGATTAACGACTTTTGACTGTATAATTTTTTAAATTGCTTTGTGTGTTAAGTAAATTCATTTTCAAACTGCTCATTATGCACTAATCATCAGAGTTGCAAACAAAATATTAAACAATTTAGTTTCTGCAAACTGCATTATGTAAGCATTATGTTATTTCTTAAAGTGGGTAATGGTGATTAGAACAGCACAAAAGACTAACATAAGGGTCATTTAAAATGTTACGCATTATTTTTTTCCTCTCAGGTTTTGTTTTATTATAGGCAGATTCTCGTTGAATGGTTTAGGCAGACATTCAAGAAATCTCTTTTCAGGGAGGAAAAATGCAGTCCAGATGGGGATTGTTTCAAAATTAGAGAGATTACAGCTCTGGTGGAATCATGTATAGACTTATTGATGAATGAGGTAAAACTTCTCATTTGGTTTGATTACAACCTTTTCATGTCTATTCCTAAGCAAGTCAGGTGGTTTTTGTGTCTTTTTTTCTGCAAAATATTTGTTATGATTTGTAATAATATATAGCAATTACTTTTTATTCACCTGGGGCTCTATCTTTCACACTGACTTATTGCGAATTCTAGGCAAAGATCATCATTCACTTCATCTCACAGTCAACATTTTTTATATCATGAAGAGGTTTCCTAACTGATTAATTGCAATTTAAACTCAAGCCCAGAGTCACTAAATCATGCTGTGTAAAATTACACGAGAAAGAAATCTTTCATTGCTATCGTCAAATCTATATTTCAATAAGGTCGTGTCAAGCAGGAAGGAAACCATTAGGCACAAATTCTTTTTTTTAATAAAGCTTTTCTCAAAACATTGCATACTGATGCTGGCAATGTAGCAGTTGTTTGACATATTTCTTTGCATACTGACAGACAATTCTTCTTACCTTCAGCATCACATTTCTTTCTTCTGTTGACAGTTTTGGTCTGTTTGGCCTTCAGTTCAACTTTGGTCCGTCACGAAAGTGGGTAACTGTACCCCAATTTATTACCTGATTACTATTTGGTTTTATGCAATGCACTGTAAAATTTGATACATTCAGAATATCCACCCCCCTCCTGAGAAGTTATAAGGTATTTCTCCTGCCTTCTTAGAGTAGCGATCAGCACACTGGGCCTGTATTCCAGAGATCTGTGGTTTGATTCCTGGCAAAGGCGTTGCTCATTTTTCATGACTCCTGCTTCCAAAAAAAACCTAATGTCTCTACAGTGACAGCCAAACAAAAAGGTTGGTGGATGATGATTCTCTGCACCCAGGATTTGGCAATTGGGTCCTCTAAAA